ACCAGCTGCCGTCAGGAGCAAGCCACAAACCGATGTCGTCTCGCACCACCTCCGAGCCCTCCAGTGTCACGGGGTCCCCGAACTGCACCGTGGTGGTGTACATCTTCTGTCCACCATGTCCCAGCGCAGCAGCACGCCCGAGGGAAGCAGCGGCCATCGCACCTCCGAGCAGCTGAGCGGCCACAAGCGCCGCCGCGGGTGGTGCCCAAGGCGCGAGTGCGGCAGGTGCCCGGCGGGGGCGGCCCGGGCAACTGCCCCAGGCGCCGCCGCAGGCGCGGCCAGCGGCGGCGCACCCGCTATGGTTTCAGGACCACCAGCTGCAGCAGATACGAACGAGAAGTACTCGAAGGGTCCCGCGGGCAGCACCACCGTGGGACATCCCGCTGCCTGCACCCAGGCCAGGTAGGTGCCCCGAGCGTATCCCCCTAGCTCCGCCAAGGTCGCGCCCTCCACAGATGCCGTGAACATGCGGCGGGAGCGGCAGCGGCCCCCCGCGTCGAGGCCGAGCGGCCATGGCCGGCAATCGTCCTCGAACCTCACCGCCGTCTGCGAAGTGTCCGTCAGATCATAAAATTCCTCATGCACATATCCGTCGGTCGTCGACATCGCACCCCGAAACGGAGTACACGACGGGCCAAACGGATGCTGAAACTCCTGGCCCTTCACACGCCGTTGATGCCACAGCGGTGGGCCGGCGTACTGAACCCACGCCCACTGGAGGAGGCCCAAAAGGGCTGCCACTAGCGACATCACCGAGAGAGGGACGGGTTCGTAGCGTCAGCACGCATGTAATCACCAAGCTCCTGAGGCGCACGAACTGACAGCTGAGCGCGATGGGGTTCACCAAGATAAGCAACAAGGCCAGCCAGCCCGTCGACCAGTGGCCCCCACCCCCGCCGACGACGGCCGGGCCCTCTGCGGTTGCCTCCGCTGGCGCAAGTGGCGCCGTCGGGCAAGCCGAGGGCGGGTGGATGTGCACTGGTGCCCCGGCCGGCCAAGCAGGGCACGCTGACGGCTGCGGGCGCCGGGCACGCGGGGCAGCTCGAGGCCGTGGTCACCAGGGCCTGCGCCACGGAGCCGACCTCGCAGTCTGGCCCCGCGCCGAGAGGTTCCTCACCATGCGAGGCGGAAGAATGCTGTCGTTCGGTGCCTGGCACCGGTAACAGCTTGAACACAATCAGTTGCGGGCGACAAGCGCGCGGCCTCCTTCCCAACAGAAGCTCTCAGACAAGATTCAAATGCCCGCATTGCCATATTTCTCTCTCTCTCTCTCTCTCTCTCTATCCCTCTCTCTGTCTCCCTTTCTCCCTCTTTCCTTCCCTCTCGGCTGCGCTACTCCCGAGGCAGGGGCCCAATTCGCGCCTCCTCCTCCTCCTCCTCCTCTTCCTCTTCCTCTTCCTCCTCCTCCTCCTCCTCCTCCTCCTCCTCCTCTTCTTCTTCTTCCTCCTCCCCCCTAAAGACGGGCCTTTGCATGGGAGTTGCGCGTGTCGTGTCGGGGCGGGCGACAAGCGCGCGGCCTCCTTCCCAACAGAAGCTCTCAGACAAGATTCAAATGCCCGCATTGCCATATTTCTCTCTCTCTCTCTCTCTCTCTCTATCCCTCTCTCTGTCTCCCTTTCTCCCTCTTTCCTTCCCTCTCGGCTGCGCTACTCCCGAGGCAGGGGCCCAATTCGCGCCTCCTCCTCCTCCTCCTCCTCTTCCTCTTCCTCTTCCTCCTCCTCCTCCTCCTCCTCCTCCTCCTCCTCTTCTTCTTCTTCCTCCTCCCCCCTAAAGACGGGCCTTTGCATGGGAGTTGCGCGTGTCGTGTCGGGGCGGGGTGGGCGGGGGTTTCCTCCTCCTATCTGGTCCTCCCTCCCTTCTCCTCCATCCTCCTCTTCCTCTTCCTCTTCCTATCCTCCTCCTCCTCCCTCATCCTCCTACTCTTCTTCTTCTTCCTCCTCCCCTAAAGAGGTGCCTTTGCATGGGAGGTGCGCGGTCGTGTCGCGGGCGGGGTGTGGGCGGGGTTTCCTCCTCCTCCTCATGGTCCTCTCCTTCCTGTGTGCTCATCCTCCTCCTCCTCCTCCTCTCCTCCCTCCTCCTCCTCCTCCTCTCCTCCTCATCCTCCTCCCCTCCTCCCACCCCCCCCCCCCCCCCCCCCCCCCCCCCCCCCCCCCCCCCCCCCCCCCCCCACCCCCCCCCCCCCCCCCCCCCCCCCCCACCCCCCCCCCCCCCCCCCCCCCCCCCCCCACCCCCCCCCCCCCCCCCGTCCTCCTCCTCCTCCTCCTCCTTCCTCCTCCTCCTCTCCTCCTCCTCCTCCTCCTCCTCCTCCCCCCCTCCTCCTCTTCCTCCTCCTCCCCGCCCTCCCTCCTCCTCCTCCTCTCCTCCTCCTCCTCCTCCTCCTCCTCTCCTCCTCCTTCCTGCCCTCCTCCCCCTCCCCTTCCCCCGTCCCCCTCCCCCCTTCTCCCCCTCCCCCTCCCCCTCCCCTCCCCCTTCCTACCCACCCCCCCCCCCCCCTCCCCCGTCCCCCCCCCCCCCCCCCCCCCCCCCCCCCCCCCCACCC